ACCTCTACCTCTATCATTATCTCTATCCCTATCTCTACCTCTACCTCTACCTCTATCATTATCTCTATCTCTACTTGTATCTCTATCTATTACTATACATGCATCTCTACCTCCATCTGTACCTATATCTCTATTTTTATTTATCTTTATCTATACATGGTATCTCCATCTCTACCTTATTTTTCTCTTTAAATTTTTTTCCAACTCTAATTTCTTGCTTTTCTCTTTCAATTTTTTCCCAATTTAATTTCTACATCTACCAATATATATACCACCACCTATATCTATACATGTATCTCTACCTCTACCTATATCTCTACATGTATTTTTACCTCTGCTTAAAGTTGAGGTAGAGGTGGAGATGTAGAATTGAAAGATAAATAAATAATCAGAATATCAAGAAAAAATACGATTGGGAAGAGGAGTGAAAAATAATTTTATGTAATAGCCACGTCACTCTAAGTTAGAATATCAAGTTTTTCAAAAACAAACATATTTCATCAACACCGTCAAACTTAGGTCAGTTATATGAACCTTCTTTTCCAGGCCAAAAGAATATTTCATTACATTAGTAATTACCACATGGGCTACTATACAAAATCTATCTCCTCAACGAGACACGTGAGCTAAGGACAAAGTCAAACATTTGCATTAATACAAAAATTAATACTAATTAATGTCAATTTGATTGATTCATTGACAAATAAAAACGTGTGATTACAAACAAATATATCATTTAATAATAAGAAGATATTTTCGGTCGATGCTAAACAATTATTAATATGTTATCGATAGATTGTAAACAATTATAATTTGTATTGAGTTTTCGTTTAGGCTCAAATCTGAAATTTGATTTTAAAATTCTCCATTTTGAAACTAAATTGATTCTAAATAATTAAAATTAAATTTTTTATTTAGATGTTTAGTGACTTATTAGATGTCTTTATCATACTTCTCGAATTGAATTTTTCAGTAATTTTAGCTTTGAAATATCTTACATTTAATGTATTAACTACTAGCTAGCTTAGTTGGGGATAAGATCATGCAATAATAAATGTTCAAATTGAATAAGTCACTCTTTACCTTTTCAGCAAAAAGGTAAAAAGATTTGAAAACAAAACAGTTTTTCAAACATATCTACCAAAAATTACACACAGACTAAAAAAGAAATATATGATGATAATAATAATAATAATAATAAATAAATAAATAAATAAGGATATAGGATAATACATGTAAGTTAGGTTACAAATTTAATTTTTAAATTTGATGATTGCATGTCTATTTATCTCCTGAATTTGAAAAAATCTCAATTACGTATTTCAGTTGTTAATTTTGCATGCCTAATAGAGTAAGTCTGTGTAAATTTGACACGTGATTATTCGATACAATGTACCACAAAAGAGTATGTGAGCTTGATAAAATAAGTACGAGCAAGCAAACAAAGAGAAAAAAATAGTATGTTCTATGTCTATTATCTATCTTTCCTTAACTTGCTCACTTGTATTTTATTGGACTCATCTATTCTCAACTATACTAAAATATCACCTATTAGTAAGTGTGAGTAATGATGTTCATGACACGGACTTGTTAAAATCAAAACTAAAAGTTGATGGATATATAATTGAAACTTTTTTGTCTAAAAAAATTAAAACTTTTTAATTAGTATCTCGAGACTAATTAGACACAGTTATCAAAGTTTAATGATTAAATTTATAGTATAATCTATATTATATTAGTTTGTGACTAAGCTTTTAATATTTTCTTTTAACTTTTAAGGGAGCAATCATTTATCGTATACAAGGATGAAAATTAAAAAAAAAATGTCATGTTAATATTGGTATAACTCAAATTTAAGGATATATATCTTTTTCTCAAAAAATAAAATAAAATAAAATAAAAATTTAAGAGGGTTATCTAGATATTGATGGATATTTTGAGACTAATAATGGATATCACCAAAATTTTATATAGAATTGTAGTGAATTTCTTAATCAAACTTGAAATTGGATTGGATGGTCTAAATTTTTGTGTACCAATAAGATATGTCTCATTTTGTAAAATTTTGTTATTCCAATGTGCCATCTATTTGTGAAATTACATTTTACCCCTCCTCCTCTCAACTATTTCTCTATTGTTTTTTCCTTTTTGTTTTAGTTAAGTTTTTTTTCCCATAATCTCCAATTTTTTCTTCCCAAAATTTATTGGCTATTTTCTCGGTGAATTTTATCCATTTTTATTTATTAACGTTTGTTCGTTTTTTTTCCTTTTGAGTTCATCTTTTTCAACTCAAATTTCTACACGTAATAACACAATTTTTGTTCGGTTAATTTTATTCCATTTTCATTTTTTTCACTTTTATTTCCTTTTTTTTTCTCTACTCTCAAAATCAAAATCTCGAGTTTATTTTTTCTACTCGAATACTCACTTTTCGCTTCTCTCTCTCACATTTTTCTTAATAGTTTTCTTTTTCTTTTTTTCCTCGTATATCTACCCTCTACCTCTACCTGTCTCTATATATACACACATATATCTATATCTCTACCTATATCTACCTCTACCTATATCCATGTTTGTATTTCTACCAATACCTATATCTACGTCTTATTTTTCTCTTTCATTTTTTTGAACTTTGATTCCTTATTTTTCTTTCAATTCTATCTATATCTATATCTATATCTCTAGATCTATCTCTACCTCTATCACTACATATATCTCTACCTATAATTGTACTTCTGTATCTCTACCTCTACCTCTACCTCTTCCTCTATCTCTAGAGATATCTCTGCTTCTACCTATATCTATATATGTCTCTACCTCTACCTCAACCTGTATTCGAAGAAGAAGAATAATAGTCATCCTCCTATATTTTGTGTACTATTGAATGATGGAGATGACAAAATTGGAATCTTAGAAAAAGTTTGAAAAAGAAAAGTAAAAGAAACAAAGTTGGAAAAAAACCAAAAGAGAAAAATAAGAAATCATAGTTTGGATAAAAATTGAAAGAGAAAAATAAGGTATAGATATAGGTACAAATAGAGATACACGTAGAGTTAGAGGTCAAGATACAAATATAGATACAGATAGAGGTAGAGGTAGATGTAGAGTTACCGGTAGAGGTAGAGGTACAAATAGAATTGAAAGATAAATGAGGAACCAGAGTTAAAAAAAAATGAAAGAGAAAATAAGGAATCCGAGTTGGAAAATTTTGAGAGAGAAAAATAAAGCATAGATATAGGTAGAGGTAGAGCTAAAGTAGAGATAGAAATACACAGTATAAATATAGGTAGAGGTAAATACAGATGTCTAAGTAGAGATACAGATACAGGGAGAATTAAAACAGAGGAATCAAAGTTAAAAAAAAAATTTGAAGGAGAGAAATAAGGAATTAGAGTCGGAAAAAAATTGAAAGAGAGAAATAAGAAATCAAGGTCGGACAAAACTTGTAAGAGAAAAATAAGGAATTGAAGAAAACAGAAAGAGAAAAATAAGACATGAAGAGAAAAATAATTAAAAAACCAATGGACAAGATTGAAGTGAGAGAAAGAACATGATTAAGGGGAGGATCGAAAAGTAATTTCACATAATAGCTACATCACTTCAAAGTTATAATAACAAGTTTTTAAAAAATCGAACATATCTCATTAACATCGTTCCAAAAGAGGTGATTTCATTAAATTGAAAATTTACACGTGAGCTAAAATAAAGGATCTATCCTCCTCACCTTCACATGTAGGCTAGAGAAGAAGGATCTACAATGTACCATACTCCCTTACATTTATTGCTTGACACGTCAACAATTTATTAAAAATGTTGTGGGATATATTTCTTCTATTTAGTAGGTAAATGGGAGGAAATATGATATTTCTCTAGTACCAGAAATTTTCTAAAGAAAGAAGTCAAACCTTTGCATTATTACAAAAATTAATAATAATCAATGTCAATTTGGCTGATTCATGGGCAAATAAACGTGTGCCTGCAAACAAATATATCATTTAACAATAATAAGATATCTCTTTCTTTTTGGGGTAGGAGATTGAACTCACAACCTCGCGATTGAAGATATATGTCAATTTTCGTAGAGTTATACTCACTTTGACATTTATCTTTTTAAGTTGGTGAAAAATATCACAGATATTGTTTAGTGATTTTTATAAGTATACGAATCATTATAAATAATAAGGTGAATAAATGATTTTCTCTGTAAATATTGTGAATAAATTATTTTCTCTATAAATATTGTTAATTGATCGATAATTACGTACCAACTAAAATTTAACTTTAATCTAAGAGGATGATAATGACTAAACTAAAGAAAGATGATTTAAATCAAATAAATAAAAGCTTAGACGTCTTAACTTTCGTATCGTAAATCTCTCTTAAATTTTTTTTTGCTGTAAAATTTACTTTTCTCAAAGAAAAAAAATTAGTTTATTTATTACATTGATCATGGTGAATTCGCTCTATTCCATTATTAAGTTTTTCCAAGTATTAGCAAATATTTCATAAACAAAAATCTTACGAATTAGAACCTATTAAAAAGCATTAGGCACAAGATTCATGAATGTGCTACACAAAAATTTGTAAATATCTCTATCTTAGGAATGTGATTTTATAGCTAAATAAAATATTTAAGGTCTAATTCAATTTTCATCTTATCTTGATATTAAATTAAGTCTAAAATCATGTCATTGGTGATCAAACAATTATGGGATTTAAACCAAGAATGATAACTCAACGATAGAAATGTCAAAGCGAGCATAGCTAAGTAGTATTTGGTATATGTCTCCAACCAAAATGGTGTGAGTTCAGATTCCCTCCCCAACATATTGTACTGACAAAAAGACACTCAACGATAGAAATAATTTTGCTAATAAAAAGTAGAATATGAAATCCAAGAGTTCAAAGTTTAGGATACATCATGTAACCTTAGAAGCGAAATCTAACACAAACTTAAGCTAGAATCTATCGAATAATGAGAAGAAATAAAAAGAAAAGAAGAAAGATTTTGCCTATAAAACTTCTTCCTCTGCTACCTCCTTCAATCCGATCCCCCTTTTCCTATAAAAAACATAACTTAAAATTCAAATGTAATAGGCTACATGTTACAACGTCTAGGCTCTATTGAGGAGAAGTCACTAGACGTCATGTGTGGATGTATATATTGAAGAAACACATTAGTCTCTCCTCCACTCGCAGAGTGGGTGTATAGAGGTGCATCGAGATAACATCAAGAGTAAGGATGTCGAGCGCACCGAAAAGGGACGTCGAGTGCACCGTACAGATACCACAAACGTGGTTAGAGGTGCTAACAAACTCGCTCAGCAAGTGTCTATCATAGTATCTAGAGCATACCTTAGATGCCGCCTCACCAACTCTACAGTAGCTAGGAAAAAGAAGGCAGAATGTCAGGAGGGGTCCCCATACCGTCAATTGGTTGTCCATCTTGCTCCACCACTCTTTCCTTCCATATGTAAGGAAAAGAACAACCTTAATTGAGGTAAGCCACATTTCGTTACATACTTCTGATGAGGATTTGACGCACATTTTCACACAAAATCTCACCTTCAAGATTAGTGTCTTCTTACCATTTGTTTTACCCATCTGCTTCCTACTTGAGTTCTAACTTAAACATCAGAGTGCATTTAACAGAGCACCACACTGATTTAGATTTCTATGTATGCAGGCATCAATACCTTAAAGATGAAGATGTAGGTGGCACCTGCATCGGCATCAACATGCTCCAAAAATCATCTTTACCTCGAGTTCATAGGTGCTCGATTTTTTCCCCTTTCCAACATGGGAATAACCTCAACTATACCTAGGTGAATACTTCAATTATCAAATATTAGTGAAATATCAATAAGCATAGGTAAGTAAGTATCGATAAAACGTCAACAAAATATATGAGTCAGTATCGGTAAAATATTGCAAATATTACCAACTTTTCACCAATATATCCCTTTTCCAATTTTCTGTAGAAACGACTCTCTCCACTTCAGTATCGATATATTACAACTTTATCGATATACTGACAATATATCAGTCCATATTTTCATTCCTTGAAGTATCAATACCAAGATACAATGAGTTTTTTATGCTTCAAACTCGAAGTCGATATTGTATTATACTTTTTCTATAAAATTAACATGTTACATCATGCACACAAATGATACTATTAGGAACCTTTAGATAAAGTGTGAATTGATTTTTCCTTTTTAATTCCTTTAGAGAAGTACCTTTACTTTATCATTACAATTGTGGAGCAAAAGGTCGAGTCTTCACCCTAAAATATAATTTGTGTTAATCCACTTAGTTATCTTTCAATTGGCTAAAGATAAATTTATCCTTAATACCAAAGTCTAATAAGTATTAAAGACGTGTCTAAGAGTAAATCACTTTTGACATTGTTAAAATCACTTCAATTTTCATTATGGTAAATTAAAAAATTGATTTTAGGAAAACTTAAAATCATTTTAAATTAATTTTTAAGGTATCACTTATATGGTGATCTTGAAAAATCAATTACACTAATAGCCGCTCTAATTTTGTATTACTTTTGCAACAATTTTCACCTAAAATTAATGAGCAAGTCTTTTATACTGCCAAAACGAGCATAACTAAGCGGTAATTGGTATATACCTCTAATCAAAAGAATTTGAAAATACATGGACTAAATCGTTAAAAATTAAAGTTCATGACTCAAATATGTTTTTTAACCTAGAAATAAATATTTATTTTGTTAAATAGGCAGCAATATTATACATAACCAATTTTTTTTCATACCCAATATCAAGGCTTACTATTAGATTGCAGTCTACCAAATATATGTTTTTTTATACACAATATCAAATTGTTTACTACTTACATTACAATATACCCAATAATTTCATTTTCATATCTAATATCAAATTGCTTACTAGAACATTACAATATACACAATTTTTTTTTCATATCTGGTCACAAATTACTATGTATCATTGTCAACATGAACATAGTTCAACTGGTACTTGAAGCACATATTTCTAATCAAAAAGTTTTGAGTTCGAATCCCCACCTATATCCTTACGTAAAGATTCATATAAAACCGTATTATAATACACCCAAAATCACATAAATATTTATTATTTTTTATGTTATTTAATCCTTATACTTCCAAGAATTTTTGTTTATTCCTACAATTTTGCATAACAAACTATTGGGTTAAAATCTATTTTGGCCTATGACGAACTTTCATATTCACTTTAATTCGGCCCTCTTTAAGCTTTCAAACATTTTGTCGTCTTTCAAATATAAATTACATAATTTCTCAACTTTCAAATATTTAGTTTTAGTTCTTAAACTTTACATATTTATTAGTGGAGGATTCCTAACAAAAACCTAAATAATCCATATCAAAACTCGACAATTAACCTATACTAAATTATAGCTAAACACTTGTTGCACCAGAAACATATATATTATAAGATAAATGAACAAAGAAATCACATAAATGACTAAAACAATCTCTTATTAGCTCACTAATCAAATAAAATAGAAAGTCAAATTTCTCTCTCATGCATATATTATATTGCGATGGAAATTGATTGGTTTGGGGGAACAAAGAGAGAGTAGTAATTACCTTTTTTTTTTCAAAAAATTAGGAGGTTGAGGATGACATGATGAAATGCCATAAAATTTTAGTTATTAATTTATGTGGCACTAAAGAAAAGGCTTAAATTCTTCAATAATAAATAAATAAATAAATAAAATAATGAAAAAGGCATAAAGCCAGCTTGTCCCTGATTGGTCAGAAACACTCGACTATTATTGGATCTATCATCCATCGAATCACAATGGTCGTGCCAAGCAAAAACCAACCTCCACCCATGAATTAGTTTTTTAATTTTAGTTTTAACGTAAAATGTTTAATCTCTAAATTTACAAATATTTTATTTTAATACCTTAAAAAAATTAAAAAGAATATCACGAAATTCGAACCTCCCATCCAAGTTGAGGAGCTATTTTAGTCATTAATTAAAATCTGAATATTTGATTTCATATAGTTTTATGAATAAGTATTTTTTTTAATTAAATAACATGTGACGGTGGAGATTCGAATCTCTCCAACCTTTTGACGATGATTTGATCTAATAAGTGCTAGAAATTATGGTAATAGGTTAGATATTTGGTTTGAATTTTTTGTTTAAGGATTAACGGTGTGACTAATATATATATTATATAGCTTAAGGAATCAAAATTTAGGATCCAAAACATGATCTTTAAACCTAGGGGTTTATTTTAAGTTATAAATGGAATAAAATAAGTTTTTTTCTTTAGAAAAAGAAAAGACAGATACTTTTTTTAATTTTTAATTGGGAAAAAGATTACTGTTATCATTATTAGATTTGTTTAATGGATATGGACATGATATCTCACTTGGGCACATAAATTGGGAATAAAATATATGGATTGATATTATATTTTATTGAATGGCTACAAAGGGTAAGAAAAGGACATTCCCATTTCTTTTTTCATATTTCCAAAAAGGGTTCTTATTTGTTTGGATAATTTATGAGGCAACATAATAATTAAAAGCTTTTGCTTTTTTATCTTTTTTTATTTTCATTTTTTTAGTTAATCCTTCTTTAATCTATTGTCATTGTAAGGGCTGTCAAATGCCTACCTTCTCCACCATTAAAGCTATCTTTATAAAATTAAAACTTCTAATTTCATTTCAACATTTTGATTAATTATTTTTTTATGTTACTATTAATTGATAATAGAAAAATATGATATACCACAGTGAAGTGGGTCGACATGACATGACACTAATTGTCATATTAATGTAGATTGATGTAACATTGATTTTTTCAATTAAATATGATTTCTTATTTCAACTATTTTTAACCTAATAATTAGGATCATTCTAATTAACTTATACTATATATATATGATATATAAAGAAAAACTTTACAGTTTAGTTTGTATCTTTTTCTTCATTTATTCAAAATTAAAAGCTATCATTTTCTCTAAAATTATTATTCAGGACTATAATATATATTTCAATTCTTCTATTTGATTTTTTTTTTTTTTGAAAAGTTATATTTGATTTTTTTAATATCTACGTTCAATTTTTATAAGTAAATAACTTTTCATTCTAACAAATCAACCAGAATTGTAATGTGTACATAGACTATACTTTCAAATTTTGCATCTTTTTTCTTTTAATTAGTCCAATGACAAAATGGAAACTTCCATGAATTGACTTACCTATGAGAAAAAGAAAAGTATAATTTAACCTTTCTTTTAAATTTATTTTAGAAAACCTGGATGTGCTACTCTGTCATTTGTAGAATATTACTTTAGGAAAGAAATAACATATCCAATTATAAAATGGTAAAAATAGCCAATTCAGATATGCCCAATACACTGGTTACTCAGTTGTTTGATCATGATTTTTGACCAAGTCTACGGCTCTAACTCCTCAAGACCACATGCTAGCAAGTAGAGGACTTGTAAAAGAGAATAAGTACTTCGACATTTAGGTCAGTAGTCGGTCGATATTTACTCAAGAGAAATATAGTTTCGTGTACCTGAAAATGAGGCAAGAGGTCTCTATTTATAGTTTGAGCTTCTAACAGGGCTTCCGACAAGTTTCCAACAGCTCGAGAATCGCAGCATGTTGTCGTAGACGATGCCAGAATTCAATTAATGCAAAAGTGTCCTTAATTTGATCAGCTCGACTGATGACTCTGACATCTGATATAGAAGTTTAAGCTCGACTCGACTGATAACCCAGACGTCGACCTTGGTATGAGACTTAGGTCAACTCTCATACAACATAAGTCGCAACTGTCTCCGATAGTTCGACTCGACCTCTTATGAAGGTCTAAGTTGTAGTTACTTCTACGTGTGGATCTTCATGTTAATTCATCATTGTTGGTTATATCATGTATCGACATGTGTCTTTGCCTCCAACGATTCGTAATGTACTAATATATCTACTAACATCCATTATAATTTTAAATTATGCTTAAAAAAGGCATAATTTTAATTTTTAATGGCAAAGATGCTAACTACTAACAAATTTCTGTTATTGTCAAGGAGCAGATCGCTGGCCCCTAAACTTTTGTTAAATTAAATATATTTTGCATATTTGATAAAAGAGGGCTTTTGGTCCATTGGCTTTCAAGGGCCTCAATATATTCTCTGTCTTCATGAATTAAAATGGTGATTTTTTATTTTCTTTGATAAATTAAATATATTGGGCATGTTTGATAAGAAAAACCCACATCATTTTTTTTTCTAAATATGCATGCCACCACATTTTTCTATTGCGTTGAATATCGATATATCAAAGGACTAAAATAAACAATATCGATATATCAAAGGACTAAAATAAAGTATTTCCTAATATTTAGAGTTCTATTATACTATTTTGAAATCTATCAGTGAAATAGAATTATTCTCCACACTTAAAAAGATCATATTTATCCTATATTAAGTATTCTTAAAAGGTATGTTATTTTTTTAATATTCGATTAATGAAACTAATATTTTATTATTATTATTATTATTATTATTATTATTATTTTAAAATATGACTTTTAAACTTTTAGTAAAGTTTATTGATTTTTAGCAATAGTTAAGAAATCATTTCATAATATATATCAAACAAAATAATATATTTCCTATTTAATTTCAAATGTTACATGTTAAATTTTAAGTAAATTACCGATGTTTTAAAATATTTTGTTAAAGAACATCTTTTTTCTTAATGTAATTCAAGAAATTTTAGTTTTAAGATCATATTAAATTTATTATTTTAGATTATGTCTGGGTTTATAGTTTATTTATTGAGTAGCATGAGATAAATATGAATTTTTAAATATAGTAAGAAAAAGTTTAAATTTTTCGAAACCTAGTATAATTTAAATTAATAAGTCAAACTTAAATATATTGTAAAATATATTTTGAAAAAATGTTAAAAGTTATGCTATATTTGAAAAAAAAAAAGAAAAGTACATATTAAAAATTTTGCTTTAATAAATTCATTACATTATATATAATTTTAGGGTTTAGTTT